CGGTGTAATGCACTACCAAAACGCCCGTAACTAAGAAACAAATGCTAATTCGATGATGCCGGCTGGCACACTGATTAACTATGAATGTAGGCCGCACCCCCCTAAAGGCAGAAGCTCGTACTACATCCGGTTCGCCCTCTATTGACACAGTCTTGAAACTTTCCGATCGCACCTCGTATAACGCACGTGTCCAGTGATGTTATGCATATATTGTGCTGCCATCTGTTCCCAACTGTTGTGAAACTGCTGTATAAACGATTTGGCCGGTAAGTATCACGAGTATCCCAGAGGACTGTCGTGGGATACTGCACTATGTAGTCTGGTAGAAACAGACCGACGTTTCAGAGGTTATTATTACATCAATCTCCAGGATGATGCTTCATATAGATTGTGATGATAAAACAACTGTACAAGTTTTCATGGTGGTCGTATTTGATTGTCGTTTCAGTAACGACGCCTGCGCTGGTAGGCATCTGTCTGGGCGCGACATTGTTCCTCGTCACTGTTGCTGCGGTCACGTGCTTTTGCTACCGTCGTCACTCGAAGCTCGTGCAAAGTGGCAAGAAGGGAGTCCGAGGAGGTCCTGAAAAACCCCTGGCTCTTCAGCAGCATCGGCGTCCCACAGCCGTGAAGAGCCCAGCGGGGTCTGCTGGGACCCACTACCTCAAGAAGAGCCCCAGTCCCACCGGAAATGCGCGTAGTCCTCCAGGGGTGCGTTATGAGTCTGTGACGTTAGTCTGATAAGAGAGTCACTGTATACCAGTTTGGAAGTACCCAGCTTGTTCAAACACATTCTTTGTGATTAAATCTAATCGATTTTTTGTTGTTATTGTAGCCGAAAACAATTTTGATTTAATCAACAGTACTGTGCCATATTGAGTCAACAAATTTTATTATTGTGATTTTTAATCAACAGTATTACATTGCGTAGTTACGACATTTCTTGTATTCACTATAGATCACATCTAATTTTATTTATTTGTGGTTTATTTAGTGCCGCTGTTACTAGCTCAGATTATAGAACGTAGAATAATAGGATAAATACGGCCTAAGGAGTAATGAATTTGGAAAGAAACTAACGCGGAATTTGTCTGGAGGAGTTGTTAGAAAATTTTGAAAAAACCAAAGCTAGGATAGTCAATACCGTGCAGGGTTCTGTACCCGAGACTTCCCGAACACGAAGAAGGGGTTTTAATTACTTAGCCGCGAAGTCTGGTACAATTAAATAGAAGAATACTTAAAATACATCATCAGAAATCTATGTTTAAGAACTTACCGTATTCCAGTGTCATCGATATGACGAAATTATTTTATCAGTTTTTAAAAACTGGCTTAAGATCTATACAACCTTCCCGACATCCGAAGGTAAATAATACAGACCAGCAATATCAACTGTTCGTGTAGCGTGAAAGTCCTGGCGCGTTATTTGAATTTGACCCTTGACCGCTACAAATGGGGCCAGTTATGTCTGAGGTCAGTAATTATTGCTTATGCGGGGTGTCTGTCTGTGTGATGACATCACCACCTGGGATGTTCCTCCCCTGGCCGCCAAGGTAAATGCAGTCACATTGAGGTAAACTCGGAAAAGAAATTTATGCTGGCTTGAAAAATGGTGTTTAAAATTGTCTCGTCTGAATGAAAATTGATACGGCTCAACAATTCTTGTAACATTCTTGCCAAATTTAATAAAAAGTGGCTTATTTGTTCTTTTATGCTCTAAGATACTATCCGCGTCATTTAACCTCGCATCTAATAGGAAGAAGAGAAGGGGAGAGTGAGGGGGGAGGAGGTTAGTATGACACGATCTGCGCGTAATACGTCGTTGCACGTAACAGAGAATGAAACCTAATGCGAATAATGTGTTTAGGTTGATGAATACGTGCTTTGCCGTCCCGTTGCATAAACTAAGCCATAACGAGCCGATAAAAAACGCCACAACGCAGTGCAGACGCCAAGTAAACTGAAACGGACAATAAAAGAACTAGCCCCTCAAGGCTTTTGGCTTTTAAAAGCAGAAACAATATATTTTACGGAAATGCACTACGAGTAACAATGTTGCACTTCATAAGAAGCTTGGAAAGGGTTCAAGAAACAAATACTTCAGTTGTATGCTCTGTGTAATCTAAATAATTGCCTTTTACTGATGAAAGTTCGTGTATAGAACATCAAGTGGTTTTGGTTATGTCAACAGCACACTTGTACCTGTAATAAATGAAAGTGGAGAGGGATAGGGATTTAAACCTCAAAGCATTTCTGCACCCAGAATTGAGAGACATTTTGTTGCCTTCGCCGACGCCTGCGTACCCACAGTGAGCTGCTATTCATATTAATGAGTCTGTCACTCGGTCCGATGCTAATCGATTGAAAGGCGGAATCCGTAGCTGATTGGTGTCAGAGTGTCGCCCTAGATTTGTATTCCAAGGGAACGATTTCTCAGTGTACGTGGTTTTCTCCAGTCCATTCGAAAAAAGTTTGAATCCATCTCTCCTGACTTTGTCTCGGATTTCCGTCCCTCTATGTCTTAGGTTCGATTCCAGTCATGCGAGTCCCTTGTATTTTTGTCTAATTATCCGAGCCCTTTGTTATTAGCACTGGAAATATCAGATAGGTGATAACACCAATATTAAAATGCAGATGCACACACGTCCTTGTATCGAAACATCTTGCCCGTCCGCACTTCCAAATGCCAGAAGGAAAACGAATGTTAAAAATACGGAGAGATTGTCAACACATCGGCAGTACACCCCTGGATCCAGTAGCTGTTATATAGTTATAATCTATAACCCAAAACTAAGCACCCCTAAAATTTTGAAAAGTCGGTGACGATGCAAGTATTTCAACATGATTTTATCCGAGATGTTCTGAACTTTCTCGGCGAAATCGATTAATAGCAGCGGACACGGGAAAAGAATCTTCTTCTAGTCCATTCAGTAGACGTAGATCCCTTTGTTATTGACGGTGTGTATGTTTGTCTTTTTCAAGTTCGGAATTTGTTGTGAGGTGAAACTAACATTATTAGAAGAAAAGAATAGAAAACATGTTCATGTTTTTATGCATTATTCTATGTAACATATGTAGCCACACGTCTCGAAGTGTTTGCATGTAGGGGAAACCCTTGAATCCGGAGCAGGAGTTCTTCTGCTGGCTGTAAGTTGCACAGAGTTAATTTTTCCCGTAGTATAGGATTTCACAAGAAGGCTACCTCTAGTCCTGACCATGAGCCATATAAATCCAATCTACATTTTCCCACCATGTTTCTTTATGATCCATTTAAATATTATCCTCTCATCTATGCCAAGGTCTATTCAGGATTTTCAGTTAGAATCTGTATGCATATTTTTTACTCTCTTATACTTGCTACATGCCTCACCCATTTGATAGACCTTAATTTATTACCCTAATCATATTTGACAAAGAACCAAATTTAGAGAAACAGATCCAATATTTTACAGCCTGGTGGATCTGGAACACCAAGTCCAACAGTAGGTCACTTGTCGCCGCCACAGTCGAGCTGCAGCCCAGTGACTGAGACGACAACTGGTGATGAAGTCCCGAAGGAAACCTTTCACACAGAGAACGAACTGCACGACAAGCCCACGACCCCATCCAAGGAGGAGATTGAAACGAATGAGAAGAACCTGGCTTGCAGTGAGAGCAGTGTTGGCAAGTTGGGACAGCTCGTCTTCAAGCTAAGGTTAGGTCATCATTGCACTGTGTAGTTTCTGGTTGTTAGTAACGTTAATCATATCAATAACAATTCAAATTATGCAGCCAGAATTTTAATCTCACCCATGTTCATGCGTTGCACAGCAATGTTACAAGCAGTGAAGGACAAATTGATTGCAGTCTTATCATCGTACGTCATTCTCTTAATACACGTTTTCCATTTACGCTTCCTGAACGTAAATAAAACGAACAGTGCAAATTTAATATTTTCATAACTATACCATAACAGTAAACAGGCAATAGAAAGAAAAGATTATTTTCAGTAACTGAATGTCAGTAGATCTATTATATCAGTAGTTTCCTTTATTCCTATTGGCATTAGTGTCGTTCATAGTGTAAACAGTTTTGTTTGTATGCATGTTTTATATTACAATAATGTATCATCAGACATTTTCATTTATATGTAATGTAATAGGATTGAATTTGGATCTTCTAAATTCCAAACACTTTTGAGTTTTATAATGTAAGTACTGTCACTTCTGTCACAATGCGATTTTTCATTATACAGTTTGGATACCACTGTAGAATTATTAGTTATTATCGTTTTTAAAACTTCGATCTCTGTTCTATATAACGTAACTGAGCATGTGGCAACTTTATATGAAGCATACAGATACGTGCAGGTAGCAGCACTAACATTATTTTTATTGAATAAATTGGTTTTATAACAGACACATTTAAAAAATACTAGTGTCACATTGCGGCAACAATAGAAACAAATCTTTACTTAAAATTAGTTGTGCATTACAACTGTTATCATTAAATAATAAAACTACTATTTTAGGTACAAGAGTGAGAAGAATGCTCTGGTGGTGAGTGTGGTGAAATGTCGTGATCTCCCAGCAAAAGATCCAAATTTGGGCAGTAGTGATCCCTATGTTAAACTTCAACTCTTACCTGACAAGCAGCATAAAGTGAAAACCCGTGTCTTACGCAAGACACATAACCCTGTATACGATGAGGACTTCACCTTCTACGGCATCAACTTCAACCAGTTGCAGGTATGTATGCATGCTGCAGCATTGTTTAATAGAATCAGAAGCATTTCTGAATTGTGGGGAGAGAGAACGTTACACTTAGCTCTCTAATAACTGGGATACTGGGAACGACCCGTTCTTCAAGTGCCTGAGCACTGCGGGTCCCAACTTTTTCATTGGATCGATCTGTAGACATTCGGTAGGACTCCTTGGACGAGGAATCGGCCCGTCGCAAGGCCTCTACCTGTACACAGGACAGCACAACACAAAAAAACGCGGGCAAACATCCATGGCTTGAGTGGGATTCGAACCCACGGTCCCAGCGGCCAAGCAGCACAAGGCCTGCGCAGCCACTGTGACCCCCAGCCCTCTAATAACACAGGACTTAAAACATGAATCAGATGTTCCTGGTATGTTTTTATTACAAATTAAAATTTACAGTTTTGGCTTCAGTGAAATATAAAAAAAGCAATGGCTTTATTTCTTTCCAATGTGAAATTGTATTCATATGAGATTGATAATGCACTACTTTTTCAGAATAATTTCTTTTGCCAGAATCACAAACACAGAAATCAGGATATAGTTACATACATGTTTATATATGTCCTGTAATGACGTTGCAGGCTTAAGGCCATCTTCATTAAATATGTTACCTGTCTGCACAGAGCATCACGTTGCACTTTGTGGTGCTGAGTTTTGACCGCTATTCTCGAGATGACATCATCGGAGAGGTGTTCTGCTCTCTGGGCACAGTTGACCTCTCCCAGGCTGAAAACCAGAACCTGACTCTGTGTCGCGAGATACATCCTAGGAGCCTCAAGGTAACTGATTACCATTTCTAGTTCTGTTTCAATTATACTAATCGTCAATGACAGCAGCTGTTGCTCAATGATGCTCTCCTGAAGCCAAAGATGGCATGCAGTATCTCTGGCCAATTTCTTGAAATTTTGAATCTTTTATCCTATGTAATCCATTCCAGTTGCCACGGAACCTTCAGACTAGCAGATTGAAGATTTCTGTCTTCTGGGTTGTTGCTCTGTGTAGTATGGTCGATGTTAACCAACGTTTCAGAGGTCATACTGCCTCCGTCATCAGGGCGATGAATCTACAGAGCGCAAGAACCCAGAAGACAGAATCTTCTTACTCACCGCTGTGAAAACCTCAAATCTTACATAGCAGATTGAAATGTAAACTTTAAGAAAACAAGATATTTATCATGCTTATTTCATTCAATAACAACAACACCAAAACTATGAAAGAAGTTCATTTCAGTATGATTCTGGAAAATCCTCTTATCTGGGTTTGGGCACTCTTTTCCTTTGCAGCATTTTACAGAAAGTTCTCCAAATGTCCTCCCCTCCATAAGCTTTGACGCAGCGCTGAGCGCAGACTGCCGAACGCATTCAAACTTGTTTTAGTATACCCATAGTTGCCCAAGATTTCTCAAACTGTAAAGTTGAAATATGGTGAGGCACCATCATCCATAAACCTTATGTGTTCTGACAGCTGACAGAAGGTCATCTAATAGCACGGGCAAATAATTCTCTAATAAATTCTTATAACTGTTTCCTGTTGGTGTTGTGGTGAACTTTCTCCATAGTTGTGGCGTGTATAACTCACCATCAAACTTCAGCCACACTTTTAAGTCGTAATCTGAAAAGACTTGAAAATCACAATCAATGCCTTTGAGTAGTAGGCATTCTTTGTTATGTTCTTATGAAAGAATTAAACAAAGAGTAACTTTCACACAACTCAACTACTACTACTACTACTACATCTTCTTCTTCTTCCTCCTTCTTCTCCTCCTCCTCCTCCTCCTCCATTCGGTCCTATCCTCTGTTAGGTCCGTCTGTCCGAGGCTTCGATTGAGGTTTTGAAACATCTTCCTTTTTACGGTGCAAGGTTGTTAGCCTTGCGACCAACCCCCAACCTGGAGGGCCAGGGTACCTGTCTTTGTCTGACCTCTCCCCCTCGACCAATCTGGCTAGGGAGACCCCACCAGTAGCTATGCTACCGCCAGCATAGCTCTTGGGGTCACTGAGGTACTCAAGCCCCACCACCACAACAAGGTGCAGGTACCATTAAGTGAGGCAACTACTGTTAGTAGTTGTAAATATGACAAGTCATACTAGAGAGTATTTTGTTGTGCGGATAAATAACAGTATATTTTCTGTGGTTTCTTAGTTATTTGTATTCATTTTGTTCAAAACTGATTGATCTTAAGGCATACGATTTAAAGTGTAAAAAAGTGTGAAAATGTTTTGGCATAATGAATGTTACACTTCATTGCTGTAGTTCATACATGAAATGTGGTTTTCTTGAAAGCTGAAATCTTCCTCTTTA